GTCCCCCGCGGTGGCTGCCTGTGTGGCTAACTGATTTATTTCCTCTAGCCGAAGTGGTCGCCGTAGCTTCTTCAGACATTTGAGCCTAATTGTATCTGACTAGACCGCTTACCTCGTGCAGAATTACTGAGTGATCTTCCCGCTCCACGGGAGATAATAGTCTTCCAAAGACAAATGGCACAGGTGTCTTTAGGCTGTGTGCTTTCTCTGTATTAAGGGATTGACAAGTTCCCTCCTGTCAGTTCTTGAAGAGCAAACTGTCCCCAATGAGGAGCTTCCTTATTGTCATACTATTTTGTTTTACTAGAGTAAGGGATGTTATGTGATTCTATGTGATGTCTTTCTGCTATAATAAGCTGCCTTTGGAGAATAGCCAGTACAAAATGGACAGGTGCATCAGATTGGCTATAACACTAATTATTTGAATCTCCTGAAGTCCTTTTGAAATGTGCTTTTTGTTTAAGTCTGACAAGCTTGAACTAATGGTGCTGCTGGTGTTGGCTTTAGGTCAAAGGATATTTGTATCAGACAGTGCTGTTTAGATGCAGTTTGTTTAGTGCTGAATAAACTCGCATCTTAAATGCAAAAAAAAGTTATTGGCGTTGAGCGATTATCTGTTTTCCTGAGCGATAATCTGTTTTCCTTAGCACACTGATTGGTGCCACTGTAATGAGATTCTATTCCAACTTTATAAAGCACTAAAAACAACCAAGGTGGACCAAAGTGCTGTACAGTGTAAATAACAATATACATTAAAAATAAACAACTTACAAGTGTAGATAAAATCAACACCAATACAAGATATCAAAACGCCAACGAGAATGAGTTTTCAAAAGGGACTTAAACAGGCAAAGAAGAGACTTGTCTGATGGGCAGTGGTAAATCATTCCATAGCTTGGGGGCAGCACCCGCAAAGGCACAATCACCCCTAAGCTTGCGCTTTGTTCTGGGCACACTCAAAAGTAAATGATTAGCTGACCTCAAAGAACGCGTAGGAGTATGTCAGGGAAGCAAGTCAGATAAATAGGAAGGTTCAAAGCCATGAAGGGTTTTAAAAACATAAAATTTTATAGTGGATCCTGTAATAAGGATAACCAGTGCAAGAAAGCAAAAGGTTATCAGTGTTATTCACTTGGCCTGTCAGTGGTCATAATGTTATGGCTGATCGGTGTATAAACATTAGCTGAATCCGGCTGAAACAGGATTCACTTGTATCATTTACATGTGGAAAAACAAGAATGCACTTAACCAAAAACAGTGTGGGTTCATCCATGGGTTACCTTATAAATAATATAAACCCACCGACACTGTGGAAAACATAAACATTGGCCGTAGCCAAATGCAGGAGCAGCTGCAGGTGTGAGCCCTTTCCTCAGCCCTGCCTGCAGCTCACAAGACTGAGTCCTCATGGATGACAAGTTAGTACCTGAAGTGTTGAGAACTCCTGTTGGGTACCGAAGTGATGGTTTTGGAATTTAGTGCCTTTTTATGCTAGACTGTGATTTGCTGGTTCCAGTTATCCTGTGCTACCAATGTTCTTACTCATATCATTATCCAGTTTTTCCTCAGAGGTTTGTTCCTGTGAACAAGTAATTATAAATCCATCCATCTTCATCCGAGACAGGGTCGCGGGGGCAGTAGTCCTCAGACTTTCCTCTCCCCACACACCTCCTCTAGCTCCTCAGGAGGAACCCCAAGGTGTTCTCAGGCCAGCTGGAAGACATAGTCTTTCCAACGTGTCCTGGGTCTGCCCTGAGGCCTTTTCCTGGAGGGACATGCCTGGAATACCTCCCCAGGGAGGCGTCCAGGGGGGAATACTAAACAGGTGCCCAAGCCACCCCAACTGGTTCAGCTCAACATGGAGGAGCAGTGGCTCTACTCTGAGCTCCTCATGGGTGACTGAGCTCCGCACCCTATCCCTAAGGGTGTGCCCAGCCACTCTCCAGAAGAAACTCATTTCTGCTGCTTGTATCCGCGATCTCATTCTTTCGGTCATGATCCAAAGTTCATGGCCATAGGTGAGGGTAGGAACGTAGATCAACCAGTAAATTGAGAGCTTCGTCTTACGACTCAGCTCCTTCTTCACCACAATGGACCGGTACAGAGACCTCATTACTGCAGACGCTGCACCAATCCGTCTGTCAACCTGCTGCTCCATTTTTCCCTCACTCGTGAACAAGACCCCAAGATACTTAAACTCCTCCAATTGAGGGAGCAACTCGCCCTCAACGCAGACAGGGCAATCCACCTTTTTTCCGACTGAGACCCATGGCCTCGGATTTGGAGTAATTACATGAAAGTAATTACACCTAAAGCCACGTCAATGATTTTAAATGTTGCTAACAATAATCAGCGCAGGGTCAGAGGTCATAGTTCAGGTTCAGCCTGGATAGCTGCAGGCAACCTTCCGAAAATGAGTGCAACAGCTAAGAACACGTCTCCTTTGTAGGCCTAGTCTTTTCTACACAAGCAGGCTTTTCAGCTTTGTCTTCAGTTGCTAACTTCACTACCTTCACCTTCACGCTCCTGCAGCCATGGCCGACTGCACGCTGCATTCGTATCACATCTGACTGTCTGAAGTGACCGGCTTCCCACTTGTAAACAGCACTCACGTGGACATCCAAGTTGTAAACACAACTGAGGAATAATTTTTTTTTTTGGTCTGTCAGCTTTGATACATCTGACTTGTTGAAAATGTCAACAGGGTCTATCATTAAAGGTAATTATCAGTGATGTTTAATATAGTGAAACAGTGAAACAACCGCCAGTCAACATTATTGTACTTCATTTAAGGATGCAAGAGGGGCCCAGAGGTATTCCAGCCACAGTACAAGCTAATGCTACACAAAAAGATGCTAACCACACTTAGCATTCTGAAACGTCTGCCCATCACATTGGTTGTTGTTGGTGAACAACAGACTCCTTGTTCAGACTCCAGGGGCCTATTGCACAAAACTAGGATAAGGGATTAAGCCGGGATATCTTGGTGATCCTGGCTCAATTTATCCGTGATCCGGTTGCACTAAAGCTGGATTAGATGGTGGTAGGATGTTATGGTATAAATTACCATAGAGATTTATTCTGTGGAGCTAGCCTGCTCCAGACCAGGCTAAGTTCCAGGATTTATTTTATCTCATCCCTTATGTCAGTCAGCAGTCACCACAAACGGAAACCAATAGTTATTTCACTGCACACTATACATTGTTATCACATATAATTAGACCCACTGTCATTGTTTAAACGTTTGTGATCATTAATTTCAATCATTTTGGA